ATGTTTGCCTCTTTTATTACCTATAGGAGGTTTTTGAAGTTGAAAACTTGAACTCGATTCACTTGGTAAAGGTGCAGTAAGGTTTGTTGGGGTATTAAATGTCAAACTTGCAGTTGGTGGTTTCAATGATGGGCCTAGATTAATGTTAGTAGCAGATGATGTTGGTATTGTATTTCTCCAAACTGTAACAACATGTTTACTGAATTATTTTGAATCTATTTAAAATAATAATTCGACTAGTATACAATAATTAAAGCTGTACATAAATTCTAATGAATGTAGCGTTCATAATTTTCAAAAATTAATTTTTCTAATTCATAGAAGTATGAAAATTTTGATTAAAGAAATTATATACTTTTGTATTATATGTATTTTAACTTATAAATTCGTCAATTTTACTTTTCACTTTACATGTACTTATATTAGAAATATTATTTTTAACTGTTTTATAACATATACCTGTTGTGAAGTAGAATGTTAAATTGCTTTTATTCAATTTCAATTGTGCTTATATAAGCATTTACGAATGTTGTTAAAAACGGCACAACAATTAAAGCATATTTTGTTACAGTCAATATTTAATTGTATCTATAAAACATTAGTAGGATTTTTATACTTGACACTAATATCACATATTTCGTGAAATGTTATACGTTTTTCATTATTACTAAGAAAGGAAATACACTTAAAGCATGTACAAAAGGCATAACCATTATATAACAAGCATAACATTCAAAATTTAAAATTTTCATAAATTATTGTCTCTTAACGCGAGATACAAGACACTAAACAAATTTTCATTATTATAAAAATGAATATGTTTTTGCATGTGTGTAATATGTTAGATGCATAAAATTTACATCCTTTCCCATAAGTGACAATACACAAAAAAACTGAAGTAAAATTTTAATACCTCACAAATTAAATAGATCCTCTATTCTCATCCTGGAAATGCAAAATTAAATCAGAGAAATGAGAATATATACAAATAAATTTACTATCTACTAAAAGGGTGGTATATATTAGTAAATCTACCTTATACTAAATCCACGCAAGACCTGAAGGTAGGAGATGTTTATGGGGTAGTTGAAACAACGAAAATACGTTGTTTAAGGGTTTTCTTTTTTAACATAAAGATATATATCAAAACATGAGGTTACAACCATTTTATTTACCTAATGGATTTCGTGTTTCATAACTTCCTGATCTGTTAGAACTCAATGCTGTTGATGAGAGAAAACTTTTATTTCCTGAAAAAATAAAATAAATAAAAATTAAGGCAAGTATAATATATATCATAATTTAACTATTAATTTTTAATGGTACAAAAAATACCTGGTGCAAATGGAGTTGGACCACTTGTAATTTTCCCAATATTACTTCGAGATGTTTTCCCGTCTACTTTAATATCTTCAAACACATTTGTATTGTCTTTTAGAACATATTTTCTAAAATTAAGATATTGTTCTTTGTGTTGTTGTACTTTTGAATGAACTCCCTGTAGTTTGCCAGCAACAGCTACTAGAGACTCATGAAGTTTACTCATAGCCATTGTTAATTCTAAAAGGAAATCATACAATGTGATAACATTCTTTAAATATGAATATTAATAAGAATTACCTTGTGGAGTTAAAGTTTTTGGAGTCATCATTGTTTGTATATGCTTCTCTGTTGATTCAATTTGAGACCTAAATAGCATTAAGTCATGTTCAAAACTATCAGCTAATTCCATAAAGAATAATAGTGGTGCATTGTTTTCATATTGTAATCCTGGTGGAGTATCGTGTGTTCTTTGAGCTATTTCAGCATTTTGTAATGCTTTCGCTGTATCTTGTTTTAATTTATCAGCTGCAGAGTGATCTCGCTGCACAGAACCTGCTAATGTAGTTAAAATTTCCATCAGTAACAATGTGTCTTCGGCACATCTATGTAATGGTCTAGCAGATCCTCTTGCTATATCTGACGACAATACTTTCTGCTCTTTTACAAATTCCCTAGAGTAAACATTTACACTAAATTAATTTTATTTAATTTTAATATATTTTTTTTCTCTATTTTATAGAGTGTATACATGCTTAAAGATAACAAAATATCTTAGTTTTGTATGAAAAGATGCAAGGAAGTGGTGCTTCATTTATGTTTGGACAAGTTTTACTTCATATGTAAAATAGAATGCATGATATCTCAAGAATTACTGAAATATTTTATAAATTATTGAATTTTTTGTTACTTTAACAAATAAATTAATAAGAAATATATATTCATTCATTTAAAACATGAAAATTCAATGTTGTATCTCTTAAATTAGTAATACATATAAAAAAAAAATAATTGTTTTCTTCTGTATCTTCAATACTTTGAAAAGTATTCATTTGTTATTTATAAGCATGAAACCTTGCGTATAACTTACTTGAATTTTTCTATTGTTTGTATTAATTCAGGGGGCCATACATTTTCTTTGGCAGTTGCTGGATTACTGTTTCCTTGTAAAAAACCTTTATTACTTGCAGATATATCTATGCCTCCCAAACCTTTATTAGTAGCAGTTGGAGTAGTAGTAGTAATTGCTTTTGATCCTATTGAACTACCACTGGTGACAGATGCACCAAAAAGTGATGCTATAAATGTATAATATTATACATGTGTATCTTCAATAATAACTTCAAAAAGTATAAGTAACTTAATATTTCATACGTACTTGTATTTGGAGTGCAAAAAGTATTACTTCCTGTAGATTGTGTATTGGATGCAACACCAAACGTTAAATTACTATTAGTTGTAGGTGCGCCGAAATTAAGTCCACTAAACAATGGCGCACAAGTTGTTGGTGTTGGAAATACACCAGTAGCAGTAGTTGTATTATTTGCATTTGTTCCTAAAACTGATCCAGTTGACTGTGCTTGTGTTGACACTGCAGGAGTGCTATTAAATCCAAAGCTAAGTCCAGTAGTTGTTGCTAATGTTGATGGAGCTCCAAAAGTTAATGTAGGTGCTGATGTAGTTGCACCAAAAGATGCATTACTTAAATTAAAACCAGTCGCTGGCCTAAAAAGTTATAATGAATTTCATCAGAAAAATGTATTTCTTTAGGTATATAATATTAAGGTTAATTCAAAACATAAGATTATAGATATTTACTTTTGTCCAAATCCAAAATTTGTATTGCTTGATGTTGCAGGTGTCCCAAGATTAAAAGGCAACATATTTTTCTATGGTATATACATACATATATTTTTTTACTTCTTAACTTCTGAAATTCTTTTATATTCTTCAACTGTTTTAAAATGTAAATCACATTACAAAGAAGCTACTGAAAAATAGTCAAGAAGAGTCACTTATATCTTTATTGCAATTGCATTACAAACCAATATTAGAAAGCACATTTATAGAGGTGAAAAATCAACGTTATTTAAGAATCAAATTTCAGTGTCATGTATTTAGGTAGTTGCACCACAAACAAGGGACAAGATAGACTTAACATTTTATAGTATTTCGTGTTCCATGGTCTGAAATACCGATTGTGTAAAAAGAGCAGACGTTTTGTTTTGCCCTCTATACTTAGAGAACGGTGAACAGAAGAACTACATTATAGACTTAAGTCTGTAAGTATTGAGATTACTCTGTGTCATCACATAGGTCATAGGTATTTGAAAAGGTGGCGTTATTTTTTTAATAACCCCAAATAAGTAATGTAGCCTACACGTGATATGGAACACTGAACTTTTATTTTCAAAAGTAGTACGATATATTTTACACAAGACTACTTGTATAATATAAATGTAAAAATATGTATACGTTTGAAAAACGAACTAATAATATACACTTAAGTTAATACATCGTGACTGTTAATATTGTTTAATCAAATATCTAATAACTGTATGTGTTACAATGAGTAAAAGAAAATTTGAAAATGAGAATGGGAATAAGAAAGATAGTGGTGATTCTCTTTCAGAAATTACTGAAACCAAACGTGTTTTATCTCGTTTTAAATCGGATACTGGTGAAATACTACCAGGTGGTTTATTAGATTTACCTGTAAATATTTCTATTGACAAATTGCAAGCAATCTGCAATGCTCTTTTGAATAATGAAGAGCCAGTACCTTTTGCATTTTATGTGAATGATGTAGAAATTACAGAAAGTTTAGAAAAAAACCTTAATGAAAATTATAATATTAGTGAAGATGTGGTTGAAATTATATATCAACCACAAGCAATTTTTAAAGTTAGAGCAGTTACTCGATGTACTGGGTCATTGGAAGGTATATTGTTTACATTGTTATACATTTAATTGTAAATGTAATTATGTTGATACATTTTGAAAAATTATTTTATTTTACTTAGGTCATAAAGAAGCTGTAATATCAGTTGCATTTTCACCAGATGGATCTAATTTAGCTAGTGGTTCTGGAGATACTACAGTTAGATTTTGGGATATTTATACACAAACACCACACTTTACTTGTGAAGGTCATAAACATTGGGTTTTGTGTATATCATGGTCTCCATGTGGAAAAAAGCTTGTCTCTGCATGTAAAAATGGAACAATCATATTATGGGATCCAAAAACAGGCAAACAAATAGGTAAGGATATCAGATCACTTCACACAAGTATGAAATTTCATTTATAACATCAATTTGTATGAATTTCTAGGAAAACCAATGTCAGCTCACAAAATGTGGGTTACATCTTTATGTTGGGAACCATTTCATCGAAATCCAGAATGTCAATATTTAGTTAGTGCTTCCAAAGATGGTGACCTAAGAATATGGGATACTGTAAGATCCCAGACCATTCGTACTCTTTCTGGTCATACTAAAAGTGTAACATGCGTCAAATGGGGTGGAAGTGGTCTTATTTATTCTGCATCTCAAGATAGAACTATTAAAGTGTGGAGAGCTGAAGATGTAAGTGTTGCAAATGCTACATCGTTGTATTATGAATTCCTTAATTAAACTTAATATAAATACATCTAGGGAATCCTATGCAGGACCTTAATGGGTCATGCACATTGGGTGAATACATTAGCCTTAAACGTAGACTATGTGCTTAGGATTGGACCTTTTCATATAGAAAAAAAGTCAGATAAAACAGAGAATAAATTAAAACATGCAAAAATGCAATACGAATCTATTAATGAAGAAATACTTGTATCTGGTTCTGATGACTTCACATTATTCCTTTGGAAGCCAGAAAAAGAAACAAAACCTATTGGTATTATTTATTGCTTATAGATTATTTACTATATAGAACAGGAAAGGTTCATCTGTAAATCTTAATTTACATTTCAGCACGGATGACTGGCCATCAACAATTAATAAACGATGTAAAATTTTCACCTGATGGTCGGATAATAGCATCAGCTTCTTTTGACAAATCTATAAAATTGTGGGAATCTAATACAGGAAAATATATAGCTACATTGAGAGGTCATGTACAAGCTGTCTACTCAGTTGCATGGAGTGCGGATTCCCGTTTACTAGTTAGTAGTAGTGCAGATTCTACATTAAAAGGTTAGTAAGTTTTTATTCAAAATAATGAATAGTGATGAGATTTTATCTTGGAAAATAAAATGGGAGGGTGAAAGTACTTGTTAGAGATAAGAGAACAATACAAGATATGTGAATGGGAAGAAAAAAGTGATTAATATGTTTTGGAAGTTGTGTCAGTGGAGGGAGAAAAGAAACAAGAGAATTGATAGGGAGAATAGGGGAGAATAGTTTCAGATAATTTTAATAAAAGAATTTCATTGGGTAATAAAGGGAATGAAAAAGAAGAAGAGGATGAATGAATAAGTATAAAAAAGAGAAGTCCCTAAAAAAAATAATGTAAATAGGATTAGATTAAGTTAAATAAAATAAAAGGGATTAGAAGGGAATATAAGGGTAAAATAAGAGTACAGTTATTGATAAATTTATACGAAAACTTAACCCGAACGAAAATATTAAATACAATCACCTATTCACCTATCAATTTTAATTTTATGCTGACATTTCCTTTGAATGTTTTAGTATGGAGTATGAAGACAAAGAAGCTTTGTCAAGATCTACCTGGTCACGCAGATGAAGTTTATGCTGTAGATTGGTCTCCAGATGGATTACGTGTTGCATCTGGTGGAAAGGATAAAGTTTTAAGATTATGGCAGAATTAAATGATGTAGATAATAATAAATTTAAATTTTCAATATTTTTAATTCTGATTCCTATCACTTATAGCACTGCCATGTAATTTTAGTCTAAGTCGATATGACAGGGCGTGATATGAAAATGGCAAGGGGGTCCTGGGACCCCTGAGAGCATGTGACAAAATTTGACGTTGCTTGTCATGTCTACCCTATATCTCGTCTGTGTCTCTACTTAAGTCAGGCATCGAACTGCTAATGACACACTCCCCTCATACTAGTGACTCGCGATTAGTGGTTGCCTACTATCCTACTCTTGGAGCTGCCCGACACTGTGTACCTGTGTTAAGTATGTATTTATGTGAACAATTTCATGTATGCCCCCAACAAACAGGTGAAAGTATTAAATGTCAAAAGGGTAACTCTCCGTGAGGGGAAAGTCACTATGGAATTCACGAGCTTCCAATTTGACACCCCAGATTTAAGTAATACCACTAGTTTTTTAATTTGGGTACAAGAATATAAAAACTTTTTAGTAAGATTTTACCTCTATACTACCTACATATATTGTTACGTCACTAGTTATATTTATTTCATTTTTACCAATCAAATCTGCATTTTCCATGTACCAACCCCCCAACTTTCCATAGATATGTAACATGTATCAACTACAAACAATTTATCGTTCTCTTATTTCAAGGGTGCTAAATCGGTGTTAAATCGATACTCGCGGGTACTTTGGTGACACTTCATTCACGAAAAGTTATCCCCTCCATATTTACTTTTACCTATTGTATTGAACACTACATAAAACTGCTCACATACACAATCTTGAGTAGCTATGAATAGAGTAGTGGGGAACGTTGTTTTCGAATTACTAGTGTGAGGGGAGTAAATTAGACGCCACTGACTTAATACGGTAGTTAGGAACATTTGGTTTATGGTTTGAGAGGAGTTGGTTATACATTAGTCTTGTGATCTAACAGCTGAGAGAGGTGTGGGTTGCTGAGGGAAAGAAGTTAATTTTCGTACAAAGGTTCACTGAAATAGAAGGATTTTAAGGAAAGACAACGAAAATGGTGGACCGTGCGCATATTAAAGAGATGATACCAGTCCTGCAGGATGAGAAAATTGGTAATTATTTCAAAACACAATTATTTGTTAATTTGACATTGCCCCTCCCAAAAGTGTAATGTGTTTATGTTATTTGCAAAGCATTGCAATTTTCTTATTTTTTATAATTCTTTTATTTGTTACAATAATCAAATTCACAATATTTTAGATATGTTGGCAGCCACAAGTATTCTTCAACAACAGGCTGCTGATATTAGAAATCAAAGAATTACCTGGCAATCGTATTTCCAGTAAGTATATAAAGTATTGATTTTAATACAATGGTAGCTATATTAAAATCTTTCCAATGTATAATGGCAGTTTTATAATCTAGAATTTATAATGTAAGTTTTCTTTTTAAATATGCAAATATTTATACAACTGTATGTCACATCTTATAGGTCTCAAATGATATCAAAAGAAGACTATGATTTTATAGTTGCTTTTGATACAACTGATGCTAGTGTCAGGGAAGCAAAATTAAAAGAAAATCCTCATCAAGCTGCTAAAACCTTCCTGAATTTACTGGGTCATGTTTCAAAAGATCAGACCATTCAGTATATTCTTACAATGATTGATGATATGCTTCAGGTTTATCATTTTATATAGTATTATGAAATACATGATTTAGTCTATAAAATATTTCTAAGAAGTTATATCTCTGCAATTCAGGAAGACCGTAGTCGTGTGGAAATTTTTAAAGAACATTCAAATCGCAAACGAGAATCAGTATGGGGACCTTTCCTAAATTTATTAAATAGACAGGATGGTTTTATTATGAATATGACTTCTCGTATTATTGCTAAACTTGCTTGTTGGAGTCACGATTTGATGGAAAAGACCGATCTTCAGTTCTATCTAACATGGCTCAAGGATCAATTGAAACTTAGTGTAAGTCCAAACGTATGTGTTTATTAAATTATTCGAATTAAGGAATAAAAATGAATTGGAAGAAGAGAAGTTTTGTATTACCTGCTTTTTTTTGTCGCTTAGCTTTTATTTTTATAGATTATAGTTATGTGTGTGCACAATGCAGGTGATGGGTTTTCATTATACAAACTGTCTTCTGTTTTTCCTAATCAACTACAGGAACATAATTTATAAGTAAAAGGAAAAAAACGCAAAAGATGTTGTATAAAGTTTTGCTGTACAATACACTTTATTACAAAGAATTGATTATGTTTTTTTAGTCTGTGTTTACATATGGATAATATATTTATAGTACTGCTATTAATGTTATTAACTATATATCATTTTGAATCATTTTAAAACAAGAAACATCTATTAAACATTGTGTATATCTATTACATATAGAGCAAATACAGTTTGTTATTGCATATGTATTTCTACCTGCATTCAATATTTGCTTATAACATTATACTAAAGTGTTTACAGAAAAATTTCATATAACATCTATTTTTTATTTTTACCTATAGATTATGCTTCTGCAATTTGACGAAAAAATAAGAAACAAACTATAAATGATACAATTTACTAAATTATAACACATTACAATTTCATGTAACATTATTTAACATACAATTCCGGAAGTTATTCATTCTTATTTATTTTATTGTTTATCCATTTTAACTATCATTTTTACATATACATATCTATACAATTGTATAAGTAAATATACAAAGATATTATCAAACAATAAATGCAACTAACCACTGCAGAAATCTAGGTATATTGCAATTGACCATGCAGAAGATCCATGTTGCTTTTCGCAAGGTAAAGAATAAATAGAAAATGTTTCTAAATTAAGTAAAGATTTAAATGCATGTACAAGTGACATGGGTTTTAGTTGGAGGCTCTTCAAGACACTGACTTGCATGCAGAAGTAGAACAACATAATATTGAAGACAATGAGGCATACGAACTACATGAACAAGTGAACATGGTTGGTTTTATAATTACTGATTGTTAATATATCTAAATTACTTTGATCATAAGTATAAAATATAAATATGTAATACATAACAATTAGTTTACAGACCAGTAAGTAATGTATTCTATAAAACTTTTTCATCCATATATGGAATTATTACCATTTAAGATGAAAGTAACTAACTATAAATATTAACTACCTATCCTATATTTCAGAAGAAGAATGATAACTAGTTCCACATAAAATATTAATTAGTGATCATTTTATTATCTCATTATGTTTGTGCGCACACATAATTACAATATTTCATCTGATTGTTTAAATATGACTTACAGTAATATATGTTCATTCGTTTTTATTTAGAATAACGAATACATTCAATCTGTGGCACGATGCCTGCAAATGATGCTTCGCATAGACGAGTATCGCTTTGCATTTGTATCTGTAGATGGAATTTCTACTTTGCTTAGCGTTTTAACAGGCAGAGTAAACTTCCAAGTACAATACCAACTTATATTTTGCCTCTGGGTACTTACTTTCAATCCATTACTTGCAGAAAAAATGAACAAGTACGTATATGTTGTAGAACTTATAGATTTATGAGAATTCATTGTATATGTAATATTGTAACAATAATTATTTATTTTGTAGATTTAACGTTATACCCATTTTAGCAGATATATTAAGCGATTCTGTGAAGGAGAAAGTAACACGTATTATTTTAGCAGTATTTAGGGTAAGTTATATAATATAAGTTGTATTGTGCAAGTATTTTTCTTATGTAGTATTTATTTGTCATCAATATTACACAGAATCTTATTGAAAAAGTAGAAGATGGACAAGTTGCTAAAGAACATTGTATTGCAATGGTACAGTGCAAAGTATTGAAACAACTTTCTATTTTGGGACAACGTAAATTCGACGATGAAGATATTACCGGTGATATTGAATTTTTAAATGATAAGTTGCAAGCATCTGTTCAAGATTTGAGTTCCTTTGATGAATATTCGACCGAAGTGAAATCTGGACGCCTCGAATGGTCTCCCGTTCACAAATCTGGCAAATTCTGGCGGGAGAATGCCAGCCGGCTTAATGAGAAGAATTACGAGTTGTTACGTATTTTAATCCATTTGTTGGAAACTAGTAAAGATCCGTTGGTCCTTAGCGTAGCAAGTTTTGATATTGGGGAATACGTAAGACACTATCCACGTGGCAAACAGTATGTTTAAAGAAATGTGTTCACCTTACTGCCATTTATAGTATGTTTTGCCAATTAAATTTTGAAATTACTTGCAGTATAATTGAACAACTTGGAGGTAAGCAACGAGTAATGCAGCTGTTAGGACATGAAGATCCCAACGTAAGGTATGAAGCTCTTCTGGCTGTTCAGAAGCTCATGGTGCACAATTGGTATGTAATTCTAATCTATATTATTTCTGAGAAGATAATATTATTTAACATTAAATGTTTGAACATTTAATTTCTAGGGAATACTTAGGAAAACAATTGGAAAAAGAGCAAACAGGAACCTCAGGTGCTCCAGGGGCCAAACCTGGCACACAAGTACCAGCAAAAGCTTAAGCACACATGTAATCTTTACCTTTGGCTTAAAATCTGTATATTTTATCTTCCTTCTATATTTCCTCCCCTACAATATATTTTTATTGCGTGTAAAAATCAATATAGCAAATGTTTGGAAGTAAAATTCCATTGAAAAATACATTCCTTTGTATTCGAACATAAATATCTGTAGATACAAAATGTACACAATAAGAATTCATTCGGTTCGGTATCAACCAATTCAAATGTACAGATTATAATAAATGTAGAAATACGATATTATCCTGATAATAAGGCGAGTGTATTTATAGATAATAACAGAATTTGTAATTAAGATGTTTAACGGAATGTTAGGAGAAAATAAAGTATTACTATTTACTATTAATAGAAAATGGTAAAAAAAAGCAGACACATTTAAATGTTTCGTTTTTCATTTTTCTGCAAATGTCAATTTTACGTTAATATTACAAGACGTTAACTGTGTTACGAGGTACCGGAAGATGTACGGTATATCAACTTCCCTTACGGATTCATCGTCGCCACAAAGACGACATCTTGTTTTACCGCCAAATCCTGATGCATTTAAAGACGCTTCCATTACTGGACCTAACAATGTTCCACACTTTTGACAAACTAATGTCTGTAATAGTAATGATATTTATGATTAATAATTCTACTAACTAACAAAAACAGTACAAAATTACAAACATACCGTAGTTTTATCTGAGCAATGGAAAAGACGATCTTGAAGCAGGAATGAACAGCCATGAGATATTAACGAATCTCGTTCCATTTCACCAAATCGAACACCACCACCTCTTCGCCTACCTTTTATAGGTTGCCTTGTTAAAACATCTATTGGACCAGTACTTCTAACCTATAAATAATGTAATTTGTTATTTAAGTTAATTTCGGAAGTAATAGGATAAACTTACAAATTTACTTACTTGCCACTTATCCGAGACCATGTGCCGCAATCGTTGGTAATGTACAATTCCAAAAAAGATATCTGCTGTCATTTCTCTGCCATCTATACCTGAATACATTCTTTCAGTACCGTAATAATTATAACCGCCACGTTCTAACAATTTTCCAAAATATTCAACCGCTGTGTTGTTCTCGTTGAACCGAAAAGACGTTGCATCGTGTACCAAACCGTGTATTGCTGCTGATTTTCCCGCCATTACTTCGATCATCATGGCTACAAATATATGCATAAATTATAATATTTCTATTTGTTAAACATGGGAATAAACATTTTGAAATAAAATTCGCTTCACCTATTGTCATACGACTTGGAAAACCATGAGGATTAAATACAATATCAGGAATCAACCCGGTTTCTGTAAATGGTAAGTCCTCTGCTGGCCATTTTTGAGAACAGATTCCTTTTTGGCCTGCTCTAGAAGCAAATTTATCTCCAACACTTGGATTACGCTGAAATTTGCAATGATTAATATAGCTACAAAATATACATTAATTCGTAATATGAAAAACTATACTGCTTACCGAAATGCGAAAAGTAATGCAAGCCCTGCGTGGAACATGACTATGTAAACTACCACAGAGTTTTACAGTATCAACGTGAGCATCCTCTTTGCCATGATATTTACCAGTAATGTATGCAGACTGATCCGCATCGTAGTAACTATTCAAATAAATTCATCTTGTTACTATTAATTTAAAAACGTTAGTAACTTTAACGCGTTAAAGCCGGCACTGCAATTTATATTTTACTGTATCAGGTGATTTTATTAACATATTATACTTTATTAACAAATGATTCAAAATGTATATTTTTATCAACATTTGTCATTTTTATAAAAATAGGTGAGATATGCCACTTGCACCACTATTATCTTTGTGCAATCAGTGTTACATGTTACATATCATATGTCGGCGTTCGTAACGTATTAAACAAAATTAAAATAACTTACCAGTAATAAACTTCACCTTCAGAGAGAATAGTACCTGGTATAGGAAGACCATCAGTATCCAATTTTTCTGCAAGTTCCGGTTTATCTGGATTTCGTGCAAAATAACTTTTTTGATCTTTTAAATCTACAAATTCAGATTTATAAATTGTTCCATGCGCAAACCCTCTATCATAAGCAGCTTTATTTATAATCATTGCATCTTCCATATCGTATCCCTAACAAACATACATACAGCATTTAAAAATATTTTCAACATTGCACTTCAAGTTTTATTATTCACTTACTGTGTATGAAATGACAGCCACTATTGCATTTGTACCCATAGCAAAGTCATCAAGATCAATCTTGTCATAATGAACAGGGCGGAAAAGTGGTGTTGCAGGTGTTTGAAGTCTATACAATTTAGTTTCTGATTGTAATTGCCATGTATGACATGGAGTACCCATTGTTTGTTTACCCATCTATAAAATAATATGTTGTTTATTAATTCATTGAGAAAAGATGATCGTAAATAATCTCGCGTTTTAATACAAATTAATTCTATTCTACATATAAATGTTATACAGAATGGATAAAATACGGATAAATTGTTACTAAATCATATTGTAAAATATCTTACTTGACACTGATACATATTTCTTGGACTTTGATTACAATCTGGCATTGGAATAAGACTTGCTAAATTACTTAAGAAAGCTGTCTTTGACAATTCTTGATGTGTTGTTAACTGTAATAATAAAGTACATAAGAATTTATTAAACAATAGAAAGTGATACAGAAATGCATGATTTATTACTCCTTCATAAGCTTCTTCAGGTGTGATGCAAATATTTAAATAAATTTGTTCGAATGTTCCTATATATTCAATTTTTTTAGCAACTAAATTCATCACTGGTCTCATCATGCGTGCTGGATTTGTGAATAAATATAATCCTGGATACTGAGCTGGTACATTCTTCTTTGGCACCAGAGCTATTTCTAATGTAGATGGAATCTGCAAAATGTACGATTAATTAAGATAATTCAAATGTATAATTTAATCAAATAAAACTCAGATATTACTTCTTGTCCCTTTATTTTAAGTAATCGAAGTTTATCTGTCACTCTAGCAACTATACTATCATCTATTACTCCAATCAATTTTCCATCCAACATTACAACATATGAATTGTCCCAGTTGTCAGCAATAGATAAAGGAACCATTCCAAGATCCATTAATACTATAGGAATATTAGCTTTTAATTTGGGATCCGGATGTTTTGTAATGATACAATTCATTGTTAAGTGATTCAGGAGCCCACAAGGTGCACCGTCAGGTGTATGGACAGGACAAATAAAACCTGTAATTGAGTATTAAATCGTTACCAACTATTATTGTATTAATAATATGAATACCCTTGATTATAGTAAACAGTTACCCCATGCATCTGGCAATAATTGTCTAGCTTCTGTAGTTCTCATTTCCTGGAAAAAAGAACCTCTATGAATTGCACGAAAATGACTCATGTAACGCATTCTATTAATGTTTTCGGCAACGATTGTGAGGCCACTAGTTTGCATAAGTCCTAAACCAGTTGGTGATTTTAAATTTCCAGTGGCTAAGAAATTTTCCATCTGCGATTCAAGTGAACTTGTATGCTTCATTATGTTCAACATTTCCTCTATACAGATACAAAAGATAATGTAATTTCAAACATGACTACTTACAAAATGATAGTTATACAACTGTTTAAGTACTTACGTATGCTTAAAGTGTATCTGTTGCCCGCACTTCTGGCACGTTTCAAAATACCCAATTTAAGTCCAGTTAGCCAAGAATGTAACTTCTCTTTCAATACTTGTAAGTACAAATGACCACCAAGCAGGCATTCCTGCATCATCACAGCATCAGCTCCCTCAACAGCGCAGTTATTGTTTGCAAGAGAAAATAGCTTTTTGGTCATAAAAACAAGTAAATAAAATTTATCTAGAGGATCATTTAGATGAATTGCTACACAATGCCTGAAAATAGTACTTGTCATTTAAAATAATATTCTACAGAGCGATACGTACACATACATATAATATATTTAAGATACTGACTTAATGATAAAATCACAAACATCTATATCAGTAGCATCTTGAGGTAATTCAAAAAATTTTATTCTGAACATTCTTCCTATATAAGCCTTGCATTCTTCATGACTGTGTAGACCTTGTTCATGAATTTCTCTAAGCATATTTAAAATACAACCTTTATAATACAGATCATTATTACCAGCTGTTAACGCATTATAAATAAAAATGTCTGAAACATCTATCAAACATTTGAACATCAGGACTAATGGAACATAGTACAAAACTTTTCTATGTGTAAACATTAACTTTGCAGACCCATCGGTTACATAATGTAATGTATTGTTCTATAAAACATATATTTTAATAATATTACTTAGTCAACTTAAAAAAAGTGTTATATATTTTATTATATAAAATACATACAGTTGCAGTATTATCGTCACGTACACTCCTTAGTTGTAGGCCAAGATCACTAAATTGTATTCCACGAGCTTTCCATCCTGATCTTCTGATGGCTATGGGATAATTTCTCCTGGTCATTAAAAGCATTCTTATAAGCCTTTCTAGTCCTTTAATGACAAAGTATCCACCCCATTCCTGTTCATGTTCTCCATGACTAACTAATTCTTTAGGACTCATTTTACTCAAATGACACCTATTGGACTATAAAATCAAATATAAATTAGATATGCAAGGTGTTCCAGATATACATTGAAATGCTTTACTAAAAACAATTATATAGAGCTTCAACTTTGTTATAAGCTGAAATAGTGTCAATTTTTCTGGTTTTATAAAATATGTTTTGGAATGCAAGAAAAACTACTTATCAATTAATTTCTACTTTTGTTTAACATTAAATGTACCATGACTGATCTACTATTATACAAGAGTTATTCTCCATTCTAGTATTATATTATAATTTTAAAATGTTAATCCTGAAATATAAAAATACATAACATATAAAGTTGTAAGACAATATTTGTTCTATTTGAACTGTTCCATGACCTTTTAAAATATCTTAATGTATATTTGAAACATCTAATATAACAATTATTAAGTTTATAGCAGTGTTACGTACTTTAACCATAATTGGAATTTCTCCTAAATCTCTTTCAAGAGCTTCTTGAATTTTACCATTGATAGACCAACCCAATTTAACAGTTATTTTTCCTTTGTAAGTACATCCTCTTTGACGACATTCTGTAGGATAAATTTTATGATTTTTCACTCCAATAGTCCCTGTGGGGATAGAAGGTTGATGAATAGATACATCATCCACCCATAGAGCTACTTTATCTTCATTTGGAAGGTGAATATAAACAAGGGGATTCTCTCTAACACCTTCTGAGAGACCATCTTCTAACATGTAATTAAAAGAATCTATGTGCGGACTTCCTAAACTCTGCAATAACTAGAATATGTAAAAATTGGATTAGTGATAACATTTTATCTAAAAGAAATTTCAAAATTAAATAAAAGCAATGTTTATATTTACGAGATTTTGGTTCTCTGGTGGTTTACCGAAGTTTTTTGAAGTGTTTGTTAATTTCGGCTCAACCAACATTTTTATATCTGTTACAAATATAGTCCACTTAAAATAAGAACAATAACACTAAATGTAATTTATTTGTAATAATACACAAACGTGCTTCATACGAATGCATTTCACTCACGTGGAGCGCCACAACATTATTAGCAGTGTTGCCTACTTGTTATAATTAGTTTTCCCTTGGACATTAGAATCTAGGGATAAAAATAGAGGGATCTAAATTTGATTTGATACTGTCCTACGGGTACTTATAAGTTTAGTAAATAAATTTTTTTTTTTTCGTAATCATTAATGTTTGTCCTCAAATTGGATAATTTTGAAGTACAACTAAATACTTACTTACAAGTTTAAGTATTGAAGTATTTGTACATGGAACGCAATTTTGTACTATATACTTTAAAAATGTTCCTAAGAATCATCGAAGTTTCGCTTCTACAAGATTTTTCGGATAAAAAATCAACATGTCAGATAACACTGTATTATTTTTCAATTCTAACAATTCTACACTTTTTAATTATTTAAAAATATATTTATAAAGTGATTAAGTTTCCTACATGGATATTTATGTAAAACATAAGTTACATGTTTATCTTTCCTTACAATTATAATTCGAAGTGTATCATTGGATGTATCTAATCCAATAGTAGACAGGAAAAAAATTAATTTATTGCAAGAAATGTTAACTGCATTATATAACAGATATTTAATATTTAAAAATGTTGTATATTCATATAATGGAAGGATAACAGCAATTTGTTGAGTTTTATTTCTTCTCTTTTTTGATTCATGGAGAATATTTGATGTATATATTTGTCATATATGTTTTATTAGAACAATGACAAAAATAAATACATGTGAAATTTTTAATGAAATTGACAAAAAATATTATACACTTTACATAGAATGGTTTAATTCATATTTTAAAGTAACACTGTTAGAACCAACAATGCTACCATTAAATGGTAAGGTATGTATGCAGCTTTAAAATTAAAAGTTCATTTCTTAGATTTGTGTTATTGCTACATTATAATATTTTTGATATTCTTTTAATTTTTTAAAACTAATGTAATTTTACATTGTAGATGGATACCAAAGAAATACAATTTTTTTGTGAACAATTATCCAAATCATTTGAAGAATATTTCTTAGAGACTAAGAAAATATTTTCTGGGAAAAATGAAGACATTCAGTTTCTTATTGAAGACACAATTCTAAAATGGAAAAATAATACATGGACTCTTGGAAGAATTAATTTAAACCCTGTTTCAGATGTTAAAATTATTTCAGAAAGTTTTCAACAATCTTTAAAATTTTATCAAGGTGTTCAAGAAGAGTTAAATATATTGAAAGAAGAAAATAAAAGTTTGGTACACATAAATATAAAGTTAAAATCAGATTTAGATAAAATGATAGAAGTCAAAACTGGCATGGAACAGGACATGTTTAAAAAATTCAGTCTTATTTTAAATTCTAAAAAGAGGAAATTATGGGAAATACATAATATTCTTAAAAAGAAGGAAGATACTAAAGCATCAGCTTTTCATGTATCCACAGATGAAAGTGAGGAGTCGGATGAAGGAAATTATAGAAAAAGCAAGATAAAAAAGATTAGTAATGATAATTCTGTACATATACAAAAAATTGCAATTGATGAAGAGATTAGTCAGAAACCATCTACTAGTAGAGATTGCATGAAAAAGAATACGAAAGTTAAAAAAAATGATACAGAACAAAAAGATGAAATGCAAAGAGAAAAAAATTGTATTCCTGAAGCTAGAAAGTCAAGAAGCAGTTTGAATTTTATAGAAGAATCAGAAGATGAATTATTTTCTTAAAAAATTTTTAATATATAGATCATACAATTTTAGCAACTGAAAATTGCTACAAATTTTTTAATATATAAATCATATAATTAGCAACTTGAAATTGCTACAAATTTTTTATATGGATAAATAATTTAATTATTGCTTACTAAAATTATTTTTTAAATCAATGAATTGTACATAAAATACTTCATGCAATATGTTTTACTATATAAATGAATAATTTTTGAACCAAAAATACCGGTCAAGCTATTTCAATAACTTTTGCAAATTTTGTATAATGCAGTATTGTACATGTAATTCCTTGTGCAATAGTGTATTGTACATGTAGTTCTTTGTTCACATAATTTCAGCAATAGATGAATATTTTATTAAATAAAATAACTTTATTTTTCAAAAATTTATATCATTCTGTGTGTTTTTCGCAATAAAATTCATAAACAAATATGTAAACATTTCTGAAATAACTTGAAAGTTTTACCTAATATTTTCAATTGTTGGTTCAAATTAAGATTCAATCAATTGTACATACAGATGATTTTTATGTAAATTGTTTTTATTCTATAATATAAATATTGTATATAAAAATGCTGTTGATTCTTATTATCAAAATTACATGTCTTTTTGATATTGGCCCTTTGCAGCCTCAGTAGCCATGAAAGGAGAATTAATTCCGATGTGTTTATATATTAACACTAGAACTACCAAATGGGTCAAAACAACCCATTTCGTGACACTTCTTTCGTAATTATGGAAAAGGCACAGACAATCTTCTGAGAAATTATTCAATAAATTGATTTAGATGATTACAAACTAAAATATAAGGAAATACAGAACTCAATAAATGTATTTTTATACATTCTATAAGGAAATACAGAATAATCAATTCTACTGCTCGGTAGTTCTAGTATTAAAGAGAATAATATCTCAAAGAAAGTACGAACGATTCCTTAAGGACAGGGCGGGAGTGGTACTAATGTCGTGTCTCGTGAGGGAATTGTCGATCTTCTAGTTCCGTTGGTATTCGAGGGTGAATAGTAGAGGATAAAGTCGATGGGGATGGAGTAACAAACGGAGAATAATAATCATAACGATAATAAGCAAATGATTCCCATCGGGTTGGGTGTTGCACATCAAAGGATGTGGCGTTTGTAACGGGTGCGTTAGCAGAATAATAATTTCTTTCAGGCACGTTCGGTATGTAGTTGTATTGGGGTTCCAAAAGACTTTGCAAATGTCTGATATAAGTTATGGCGTGTCTGAGCGACTCTATTTTCGATAGTTTCTTTCCAGGCGGTTTACAAATTGGTAGCTTCGATCGTAAGAGCTCAAACGCGCGGTTCATGTCTCTCATCCTTGTTCGTTCACGATCGCAAGCCGACTTTTTATAATCTGAAAGCGAAGTACCAGTTAAATTAACATTTCAATGAAATGATATTTATTTTACATACTCGCGTCGTTTTATATTAACACGTTCGCGGACGTAAATACTACTGCATTCATCTTTATTGTGATGCCAAATGACTTGAATGTTATAACATTCAAATTTATAAGCCACATTATTACGCATTTAATTCCATATAGTCTTAATTTTTTCATATTGGAGAACTAAATTTGCATTTTTTTTAATTTTGCAGCTCATTACAATTTTTACTCTCCGCGAACGTATTAACACTAGAACTACCAGATGTGTCAGAATGATCCATTCCTAAATTCTTCTTTTACAATTATTGGAAAAAAATATATCCTTCTCTAAGAAATTTTTGAAGAAATTGTTTTAGTAATACGCAAACTAAGTTTTGAGTGATCGAAGTCTCGATAAATCCACTCTTGGGGTTTATATAGAAAAATTTTGAAAAGTCAACTTGACTTCTTGGAAGTTGTAGTGTTAAAATACGCTCGAAACGTACCCTTTTCGGTTTGCGACGATTCACGTTGCACCGATTTAATGTTCGTTTCATGAAGAATTTCTAAATGTGGGTGACTATTAATCACTTCTGGTTCGGGTACCCTGATCACAAACACACGTTTGTTATTTTGTTGACGATCTTCAATGTTCCTATGATGCCATGTTCTTCTCTCCGATATGCTTGAATCTTCTATAATTAAATATTTGCGTTACCTTAATATTTTTCGTACATTCCAAAGGTGTATCTATTCATGTATACCTGATTCACTTCTAATGAATTGATCCTGCAAATATTGATTGATCGGCGATAGCTTGGATAGAGAACTTTCTTTCTGATTCAGTATTTCTTGTTGTTGCAGTTTAGAGTTTTTATCCAAGTCCAGCAATACGGGTGAATGGGCACAATCTTCGTTATTGCTGTCATTTTCCGACTAAAAAATACAATTCTTCTTTTATTTCATAGAAGATAGTAACACTTTTTAACTTAACACTTTCACGATGGAAAACGTAGTTTTACGTCATTTCGAATTCTTTAGCTGAATACATTTTATTTAAAAAAATATGTTTCCTATATGCAGTTGTAATGTTTAATTTTTTAAAACTTTCAATATTAAATGATTATAAGTACCATACTGACATGTAATATTTCTTATGTTCACATACCTATAAATAATAGAACTTTACCGTACACAGCTACAGACTTTCCGAAATTATATGCCGTATTCAACTAAACGTTTTGTTCGGCTATCACCCGTCGCGAAAGTATTAACATCGTGTTGCTTGTAATCAAGTGATTAAACAATTTATTTAACACATTGAATGCCGCATGGTTTCATAGAGCAAAATACACAAAATGAAAAAAATGTAATATTAAATCATTTTATTGAATTACATTATTATTATCGCACGTTCATTTAGCCAGATGTCACCGCATTTAATAGCATTATTTATAATATAGAAACGTTTTCAAATAATCATTGTTTAATTGAGTGAACTATAGTAATTCAATTTGGTTGGGGTTCACCGGTGACCCCCATGGCATTCACCGTGTTAATAAAACACTGAATAAGGTTTCTGGAAGTTAAAACTACTGTCAAGATCCTTAGTTTTCGTAGCCGAATCTTCTAGCAACTCCTTATCAAGGAATCAAAAGATATTAATTTTACCTCGTTTTTTAACGGTTCGTCCGAATATCCTTCCGGATCCATATTAACGAACAAATTGTTCACGAATTAATAAAAGACTTGTCGGTTCCGCAATAGAGTAACCGATAAGGAGTTGAAGAACCGATCCACCTTCTTCGAGAAACTTTCCTAAGGCATAAACCACGAAGGACTGTCGAACGCGTTTGTCGTCAGATAAGATGTGGATCGGTCACAGACAGTCGTTATTAATGTTAATTTTATCCATTTATTAAGTATTCAGGTGTTCCGGCAGAGGTTCTCGATTTACGGGGAGAATGATCTGAGGACTGCTCGAATCATCTCTCGATGTCGGGAACTTAAATTTCTTGAATAATAATCCATTGATTACGTTTGCCATTGATAAAGGGGAGAAATAGTTTCTTTTATGTCGAACTATTTGAATCATCGTAATTTTAGCATAGAAAATCGCTCCGCTAGGTGATCCCAAAATGCATTGTTCCCGCGACGGCACATGAGAACCTCTGGGATGATCGGAATAAAAGTGGGAATACAAACATCGAAACATAATAGACGCTTGCCCGATGGAAATACTAATAAGCCGACCTGTGTATGTATAGCGGGTCGAGAAGAATGGCCATCATTTTTGATGATGCACTGGAATCTATAGTCTTTAGAAAAATTAGTCTTTACGTAAGCAGGGAAAGTTAAGAACAAAATACGACAGGAGGTGTTTTTAGCAATGGTGGCATCCATTGCAATACTATTCTGCTCTGTTTATTTATTAATTTTAGAATGAAATATACTGCGAGTGAAAGATATTGCAAAAGACATTGGTATTAAACAGTGGCGCAGAAACTTCATAACAAGTGTTTTCATTTTAAAGGAGAATATTTTATTATTGTATGATATCGTGTAAATGCTCTTTCCAAACACCAGCGTACATTGCCAGAGGAAACTGCAAATTCTAATTGAAAAATAAATAAAGTCAGTTTCGGTAAAGATTTACATAACCGGAGAAACTATATGGAAGTACGAGGAGAGACAGTTTTTATCTTGTAAATGATTTGTATTCTGTTAACGAATTCTGTACAGAAGTTTTAGAGTTCTGTGATGGCTGTAGTAGGCAACTAAAGATTAGTAAAGTAAAAATAATAATTGCTAAAAGGAACAGTGAAGCGGTACTTACGACTTAGTAAAATCTTTATTATAATTAATACTATTCAATGATTCCCATTGGTTAATGCAAAGAGTAAGGAATTTTAAATGTCGTTTAAATGTTTCGGAAAATTATTTAACTCGAAATTATGAGGATCTACAGGTTTATTAAGCACGGAAATATTGTACAAGCATGTAGCTATTAATAAACAAGCAAATAATTATAAAGTATTGTTATATTTATTGAATTTATTGCGAACCATTTCGAAGTACCAATTCAAAAGTGATAGACCATAATTACACATTTTCTAAGAGTGTTGCGGTAGTTTAGGGGTAACATTATACTATAGTCATTTGCTGTTGCAAGAAACTATAGGACATGGGACGAATGGATGTTCTCTCGAGACAATACGTTAACTTGGGTACCAGGGTAATATTTTTAAAAAGAAAATAATTATAGTTTATTACAAAATTATGATTGAATATATTTAATCGTGTTTTAGAAACTATATAATTTTACTTTTTATTAAAAGACACAGAAAACGGTATAAACATGGAGAAATAATTACTCTTCCAAATACACATGAATAAATCTGTTTACTTAATTTATTTACAGAATGATCTCATTTATTTCTTGTAACTTATTATCTAAAGAATATTTCCATTGTCTATACTTAAAAAATTGTTTTCTTTGTATGTACATATGTGTATTAATACTTTCATCTTCAACTTAAATGTATTTTAATAAAATTATGGTATAATAGATAGGGGAAACAATAATTTAACATTACAATCGATTTTCAAATGTAATACTTTTTTTCATATCTCTTGATTTATTATATATATTCATCTTTTCATTTGTTAATTAGATGTTGACTACTACTATCACTTTACAGTTTAAACAAATTATATCTAAATGTTTCATTAATTAAAATCGCAAATAAACGATATTTACGTCGATCGTGATAATAAATGCCCGATGAACTATAATTTTCTACACAATAATTACAAATTAAATTTTACGTTTTAATAGAGTAGAACCTCGATAGTTGCACGAATAGGAATTAAAAATGCAAGCAAGCATCAAGGTTTATATACTTAGTAAGGTAAACAATCATGAGATCTTCTACTCGACATATATCTCACACTATATACTACCTACACATAATTCAAATATTACGACGTAATGAGATATTATGACAAAATGCTTCCGAAGATCACCAAGTCTTCAATAATGGAATTTAAAACTGTCTATGCAGAAATCTGTTATTACGTTCATTGAATGCATCTACAAAATGTCTGCACGCGTTCAGCGCACGAATCACATTGCCAACAAGCACAAGACATTTCTTAACACTAGAATAACCGAGCAGTCAAATTGACATTTCCAAATTTTTGTATAGGAACTCTAAGAATACGGCTACTAAGATTTCGATTGACTTATGATTCATTTAGGGTATCACTATATCAATTTCTTTTGTAATTCCGCAGAGAAGTATTTGTTATCTCTTTAATAATTGGGAAAGAAGAACATAGGAATGGGTCAATTTGACTCATCTGGTAGTTCTGGTGTTAATCAATCTTCAGTTTCAAGTCCCTTGCGGCGTAGAAATTTTACTCGAGTGCGAATGCGTGGGTTTTGGCCCGGTAGTCGGCGTTTTGCTGGACACTGGGCACAAAATCTGCTTATAAGCCTCTCTGTACAGTTTATTGGTGCCGGCATAGATGAAGGGATTAATCACCGACGAAGCCCAAGCTAGAATCGAGGCAATCACGTGCAGTATCGGAATTTTGATCTTGTCATCGATCACGTTTACCAACATTAGCGGCATGAAGCACAGAAGAAAGCATAGGAATATGATCAACATTAGTCTGGTCACTCTCGAATCTTCTCTTCGCTGGAAACCGCCGGACTTCCTTCGCGACATACCTATGTGAGCTTCTAGGTTCTTCCTGCTTTTCCTCACGCGCCAGTAAATGCACAAATAAGACACGCTTATCACTACACAAGGCACGATGAATCCTAAAACGAAGAGGAACTTCTTCGGGCTGGTCCCGTTCTTCTTTAAGATTGTGCAGGAGAAGGTGGTCGGTTCAAGCCCTAATGTCCCCCAAAAGCCAAGCAGCGGTGGCAGTAACAAGGAGAAACTTAGGGTCCAGATGATGACTAGCATTATGATTATTCGTTGTGTGGTGTACAGTTGCGAATATACGTCTGATCTCGATATCAGTATATACCTAAAACGTAACATTACAATTAGTTGACGATATATTTGGACGTTTGTTTGACATTTTTAGTAACATTGTTGGATAATGAAACACAGGAAAGATACATGTATATAAATTTTGATGAATTCAGAAAAGTAATTTACGAATTGCTCGAGTCAAAGTTAGAGTTTTAACACTAGATCTACCGAGCACTTAAACTATCTTTTTAAAATTCCTTTATAAAAACTATAAGCGTGAATTTATTAAGATTTCAATTAGTTTATATTTCAGGTTAGGTATTACTAAATCCGCTTTTTTAATGATTTCTTAAAGAAGTATATGTACCTTTGTAGTAATTTTAAAAGGAATTAGGAATTGGTTATTTTGATCCACCTGGTAGTTCTAGTGTTAATGTATCAGATCATATTATAATAAAACTGCGGGGAATGTAAAAATAAAGTTCGTTTAATGTATGATGTTGATACTTTAATGTCTTAATGTAGTCACAATTATTCAAATACTTTGTTGGCATTGTTATGTGTCAATGAACTAAATATCGATTATTGTTACACAGGCCGTCAGCTGCACCTGATCGATATTGAATTTATCGGTCATACATTTGATACTATTCGGATGAGTAGCTAGTGGGTGATTAAGTTCTACAGAAGAATGCTGAGTTCAGCAGTCAGCATATTTAAAAGTAAACTGACTAATAAACAGTAACACGTGCTTAAATGCCAACTACTTCCAGAGAGAGTATTTTCAAAAATGAATACACCGATTAACACTATTTCTACCAATGGTGTCAAGAGACACCTTTTGAATTTTTAATTTAAAATTATTTTCCAAGTTAGTCGTATATTCTGAATTGACTTTCTAACTTTTCCAGTAACGATTACAAAATTCACTACAGGAAATGTCCAAAATTCAATTGAGGAAAAATTATTAAACCGAGGAAATAATTTTATGTTAAAATTTTAAAAGGTGTCTTTTGACACCACTTGCGGTAGAAATAGCGTTAAAATAAATCGAGCGAATAAAAATGGTACGAAATATGAAAAAGGATTGTAAGATTGTAAATTTAAAGTTTATGTGTAATCAGATAATTTATGGTTGTTTGAGGTTTTCGAGTGAGAGCCGTGTCGAAGAGGAATTCCGACGTTTTATCAAAATTGAAGATAACTTTCGTGCGTTCTTAGATTTTCTAAAAAAGTAAGTTTCAATGTTGACGAATTGAAAGCTTCAAACAACCCTGAACATCCAGGTCGTGAAAGCATAAAAGCAGATATTTTATATTACAAACCGATTTATTGTAATTGCCACCATACTGAGCAGCGAAACCGCGACATTCCCGTAAAAAAAGAGTGGAAATATTTTGCACAGAGTATCACCCAGCACCCACGCTTCGTTTAAGTATCTGCTCGCGGTTAGAGGCAAATTTACAGCGGAAAAAATCAAATCGGAAATGCTGAGGCTTATCACAAAGGCGGTTGTTGCATGTCTTCTCAATCTTGTGTATTTTAACAGTGCCACGACTGTTACTAAATTACCTGTAATTAATTAAGTTGTTACACATTTTAATTTTTTTTATTAATATCTTATTAATAATTAACAGTAGCCATTTTATGCATGAACAGAAATAACATTCTTTTTAACTTTGTTACCTATCTTTATTCGTATCGTTTGTCTGTTTTTATTGCACAATATATGTATAAGATATTGTCATTGTTTTCTAGGATGACTAAGAAATTATTTAATATAATGTATAAACTGACTACTGAAAAATACTAAATTATTGGTAAATTGCATTTAAATCACCACGACAGAGAATAGAAAATACAAGAATGTGAAATTTTGCCATAATTCGTGAAGCATCGTATGTGTATCCCATAAATGAAATAAACCTAAGTGGATAATTAAAAAAGAAGGCATTAATAATACCAATTCTTGGCATTCTCTCGCATAAATTAATGGGGCTAATGGGGCCGTAACTCGGGAAAAAATATCCATGGGGCTAAGAAGACTTAATATGACGATAGAATTGAAACATTAAATTAAGGAATCAACTATCATGGTCATACAAGTGTACTCTAATTTCTTGATAGACAGAATCCTTGGTACTGTAGTTCCTCGGACATTTGGACTTTCAGGGAAGTTCAATTTCTTGGCAAAATGCATTTCTCAATTATAATTTCATTGTTAATATAGCATTATTTCTAACTTCAATGAATCACAACAACAAATATTCTAATAGTTTTATATTTATATTATTATATTCGTGTTATAAATACAAATATTTTACGTGATACACGTATAAATTGAAATTGATTTTACCTGCGACTCCAACGATACTGAAAATAATCGCGCAAACAGCTGCGACGATGGTAACTGATCGAGGAAAGTGTTTCAGACTCTCACTTCCCAATGCGACACCGAAAATTGTGCCATTTCTCACAGATCCGTCCATTTTTTATTGTGTTTATGCACTCTTTCGTCGTGACACGTTTCCAATATGTGAAATGTAAAATGGAGCGAATACACTTTCAAAAAGAAATGAAGTATCGTTAATGAACATCCATGTTTCGAAATAAGAGCTTATTTATAATATTTTCTAACCATTATATAAATATTTTTAGACTTGAGGAATAATATTATAGTATCTAATTATTATTAGTAAATAATACTGTAACAATACATTATTGCTAGATCTGAACCGTAAATTATTTACCTAATAACAGATACTAGATAATAGATTAATTATAATAGATTTTACCTAATAACAGATACTAGATAAAAGATAGCAGATAATAGATTATAACCAACTTTAGTTAGTATAACTATTCGCTTACATTCGTTTTCTGACATCTGTCATTGTGTCTTCCTTGGAGATTCAGATTTATTTATAAGTTTCAACTTTTCCATACCCCGAAATTTTATTGTAATGATCATTCAAAATTTTAAATCGAGAAACTTGAATCTGAGGTTCACGAGAACTATCTCTCGCATTAAATCCTTCATAGAAATGATCGTATACGTATTAGGTGAATGCCTCTCTTTTATGTTTCTTTCGACAATTTTCAATTATTACCAACACCTGAACACAGAAACAAATATAAAATTATAATTAAAGGAAATCAACATCGATATATCTGCTATAAAATTCGAAGCACAGCGCCACCGTGGAGATCATTTAATAAATTAATCTAACGATAAATCTCTCATTCACTTGTTTTTCTAAGTCCGTAATTTTCAGGAACAATTAAAGGAATAAAACACGAAGTTTCGCATTTAAATAAAATGTATATTTTCTACAACTTCGTCGCTGAGAAGGAAATTTACACTGTCGTGAGCAAAATAATCACAATCCCGACAATCTGTAAACTTTTTACCACTCAATCTTCATGTACGTATTAAATTAAGAATATATTTTCTGGTGCAAATTATCAATTTATCGAGACGTTTGTCCGATTAAATTTGTTATACAAATCTAACGAATCGCTCGAACACTGTTGCGGGAACTTTTATTGGTGAACGATGCGGATCATTCTCGATTTACATGCGTTTATCTGTTCAGTAAGCCTCGGCAATGTCTGAAACGATTAAATACACGAGGGTTCCTTATCCAGCGAGCCACTTGAATTCATTCTCTCGGTTTCTTCTTTTTGCTCGATCGTCAGCGGCAGCACGCTCTATGCGTATCTTTCTCTGAATTTCTTGCCGTTGATCCCGCGACATCGAAAAAACATCGGAGTCCTTTCCTCTCGCACGAAGAAAGATACCCCTTCCCTTCGAACCCTTCTGCACTGAGAAATTGACTGAGCAATGAGCTTCGAACGTCTTGCGACAATCGTTGATCACTACTGGGAAATGCTGATCTTTGACCTTGTCTCGTAGAAACTGTCCGATTTCCGTTGCACCCTGGAAATTCCCACTTTTTTCTCTGTGATACGCGTTCCCACGATTAACAGATGCATTTTTTTAATGCCCTTCCTCATTCAAAAAAGGGACCCCTCTGACTTTAGATTTCAAAAAACCTTGTCTTATTGAAATTAATTGATTTTTACTGTTTTCGAAAAAGTAAGCGAAGATACGGTCTTCTTTTATTGCGTAGACTTCTATCAATCATGTCTACCATCAAATGTTCACGCACGTTGAAGAAAAATTTTTGCAATTGTTCGGGAAACTTTTTAATTGAAACTGATCATTTGTTATACCAATTGCCAATATTCAACGTATACATCATCCGTCTTATTTTTTATCTTCTTGGAATGAAAGCTCGTTAACTTGCTTATTCGTGAATAACAGAAAGGACAAAAATGTACGTAGTGTCATGACAACGTGCACAACATTTATTGTCACTTCAATGTTTTGGTAACTACAGCTCACTGATAATCTGATTCACTGTGTCATGGTAATCTTATTTCACTCAACTTAAAACAAATTACTCAACAACATATCGTTCTCTTTTTCCTCGTCTCTATCACTTGTACCCCACTTTTCTTTGTCTTCTTTTCTTTCACACACAAAGAACCATTCAATTTTTAAACACTACGACAAAATAATTGCAAAGAATTACCTCCAAAATTTGTTTACTTTGTTGTTCAGTACGTAAAATTTGCCAAAAATAAATTCTTTACTATTCCAATCGATCGATCGGAACTGATATCGATATTTCAAATATTCGTAAGAAATGAAATTTGTTGAGAATACGTCTGAATGAATCTTATATCTTGCACTTCTTTACTGTTCGTCAGCTGTATTTACTTCTTCTTACTCTTCCACCGAAGATAGCTACGTGCTCCTTTCGTCTAGCTAGCGCAACGAGCGCTCCTCGGGGACTGACGAACTCCGTCGATCTTGAATTCCCCTTTTACAACGAGAGTACACGAAGCCTTCTTATCTGCCACTTCTCGATTTAACTCTCTTGCTGCCTTTTTTCCTGCTCTTTCATATTCCACCGCCTTACCGTTTGATCCGGCTCGTTCAAGCACCACTGCCACCAAGGAATCGTAATTAATTAATCTCATTGAGGATCATTGTTAGGACGACGAGCTGCGTTCGAGTGTAATCGGACGAAATGATACTCCTTCTGTTCGTCGCTCGAGTACGGTGAGAATTTTCGTGTCCTTTAATACCTCAAACACATCCTGTTTAATGTTTCATAGTGGTTACTTTCAGGTTTTTCCAGATTATTCATATCCTTTAAGAGCGCGATAAGCACAAAGAATATATTTTCAATTATTTTTCCTTTTCTATGTTACGCTACAAACCTCCTTGTGGTTAGGTGGGTTAAAAACTGCCCCACTCTTTGCTTAGCTTTTTGTGTATGGTGGGATATATTTGAATCCACCTAGAAAAGTTGAAGTTACCGATAGTCGTATAGTTTAATATTTTATTTAGTTTTCTATTCAGTTGGCAATGCTATGAACTAATGGTAAATGCGTAAATAAGTGAAAACAAATATTTATACAAATCAAAACGCATTGGTAAGTTGTCGAGACTGTTGTGATTAAGGTTGTCGGATTGTGTGGTGCAGTGAATTCTGTACAGCTCGAGTTGTTTTTTCTTTAAAATCGTATGCTTCAAAGAGTTAAATAATACGAGGGTTGATTTTAACGATTCATTCATTTTTCTAATTGATACTACCTAACAGAAACTTTTGGTCTAGGTGTGACTTTTTAAAACGTCTATTAATTTCATGCGTATTTTTAATGTTACAAAAATAGTTTTAAAATATCGTTGTTGCTCCTAGCGGTCATGGGGTTTTGCACCGTTACAAATGTATTGGAGATTTGTTCCAAACTTTGTAACTATTTTGTTGTTATGTTATCCGCTATAAGCGCGAGAAATGTGAAAAGTTGTTGAAATTGAAATATAAATATTAGGATAAAAACGATGAAGAAATAATTACAAGTAGGTACAAGAATAGACAAAATTGATTCATGACAACTGGTACACTGTCAACAATAAGCTATCAAATTCAAACATCTATTATTTTCACAATTCTGAAAATTTTATAGAAATACTTTGAAGGTAAATTCTTCAAAAAAACTTATCTTAATCCCTCGATACAGAATATTTTTTGCTATCTTAAATTTTAAATAAATAATAAACAATATTCAGAAGTTACTTTTATTCCGATGCATCACGTTGAAGATGAACTTCCGTTTCCTGTTCAATAGTAACCCCATTAACTTCACAGCAATTTCCAATGTTTCAGAAAAAAGTGGTAAAATTCTTTGATGGGAACTGTTAATGTAATATTCTTTTCTACTTGGCAAATTCGTTCGAATTGCCGCGAAGAAGTTTCCACGCACTTCACTCCGCGATTCTTCAAGTACACCTTTCCAGGCCAGCGACGTTTCATCGACTGGCGACTGTTCTTCGGAGTGTGGCCAGAACGATTCTGGAAATGGTTGATGGCCCGGTGGTGGAGTCGCCATTGGCACGTGCTCGAATTAATACCGTCAACAGGGTGAAAGGGTATGAAAACAAGACAGCTATGCGCCCGAACGCGTTTCTTTCCTACGATCCATTAATTCTTCGATTAGCTGCCCAATGGAATTGTTTCATAAATATCGATTAACAATTAACGTGGGATGCAGCACGTGACTTTGATGGGAATGTTTCCCTTTCGTTAACAAGAAATTATTTATGACGTAAAGTTGTCGGGGTTCTAGATCATTGATATTTATATAAATACACGTTTCTGTCAGTTGTTTTCCTCCGTATAGCAGAATGAAACAGAAATTTTGTTCGCCAATAAGAAATTGATTGTATGGAAAACAAAGTAATATATACATGAAACTCAATTAAAGTTTTTATATTAATGTTTTGTTTTCTTGATTTTCTATGATATACAATAATAATGTCTTACACGGACGATTAACTGCTAATGGACAATATTATATAATTCATTTAAAATTTATACAAAAAGTGATATGAGAATTGAACATATTTTAATATTTTTTCACATTAACAATTCGAAAAACGAGACAAAAAACCGTTTTATCGCGTATAAGAGTAATTTATAATAACTTAAAATAATTTTTTGATAAACGGCATCAAAAATATGTAGTGTTTATCGTCGTTATTACATGTAAAGTTATCAACAATTTATTTTCAATTAATTGTTTGCCGCGGTTGCATGTACTCCGTGCATTTCTATACGAAAATGTCTCCTTTCATCCGCGAATTCCATTATAACAAAACTTTTTCATAAATAATTTTGAATGCAAGTCAACCCCTGTTGATGGTAAATTGTAAAGATAGCTATAGGGAGGACTTGCGAACCGCGCAAGCCAGCTGCC